AGAGAGAGAGGAGAGAGAGAGAGAAAGAAAGGAAGAAAGAAAGAGAGAGAGAAAAAGAAAAAGAAGCATCAAGAAGACTGGAGGGGGCTTGAGAGATTGGCTGCTCTTCCAGAGGTCTTGAGTTGAATTCCTAGCAACCACATGATGGCTCACAATCATCACTAATGAGATCTGGTGCCCTTTTCTGGTATGCAGGAGGAGTACATGCAGACAGAATACTGTATGCATAAGATATAAATAAATCTTAAAAAGAGGGAGCGAGAGAAGGCTGGAGAGATGACTCAGAGATTAAGAGCACTGGCTACTCTTGCAGAATACCCTGGGATCAATACCTAGCACCCACATGGTGGCTCACAAAGGTCTGTAACTCCAGTTCCAGAGGATCTGATGCCCCCTTCTAGCCTGTTCAGCTACTATATGTACATACATGCATACACATCCACACACATAAAAATAAAACATCCTTTTTTTTGGTAAGCACTAATTAAGAATAAGATTTGGCATAAGAACTAAACTACAGTATTCTGTGCTCCCTAGCTGTACTGGAACTTGCTCTGTAGACCAAGCTAGCTACAACTCAGATCTGTCTGCCTCTTCTGAACGCTGGAATTCAAGGCATGGGCCACCACCCTAGATCAATATATTTTTCTATTTCACGACTGTTGTAGAAAACTGGGTATGGTGGCACATGTTTTCCAGGATGGAAGTGGGAGGACTGTGGATTTGTGCCAGCCTGGGCTACTTATCTGGTTGCAGGCCAGGCTAAATAATATGGTGAGACCCTACCTCAAACAAACAAACAGACAAAAATGCTAATATCACCTACTTCTAACACTAGTGTAGCCAAAGGCCACACACCATTTCCATAAAGGTCCTTAGGGCTCTTAAGCACCATCACATTCGATTTGGTCATTATGGGTGACAAAACCTTCACAGAGACCCACCTGCCTCTTGCTCCTGCATTCTGGGATTAAAGGCTTGTACCACCCGCCCAGGGAGAAGGAGGTGCTATTAACATTTAATGGGCATAGACCAGTAATTTTGACATTCTGTACTTTTACTTACTTGTTTGTTGTAGTGCTGGGCTCAAACCTTTAGGAGGTTATAGAGAGGGGAGCCGTCATGGAATAACAAGTTTTGGTTGAGCCTAGTGGTACAGGATGATAATTCCAAATACTCTGGGGGCTAGTGTAGGAAGACCACAAGTTCAGTGCTTGCCTGGTTTGTAGAGAGAGAGATCAATGCCAGCCTGGCAAATTAATGAGACCCTTGTCTTAAAATAAAAAGTAAATACAGGGCTGGGGTATAGCTCCATGGCAGAGTAGTGGCCTAGCATGCATGAGGTTCTGGGTTTAATCTCCAGGGTGGACACTGGGCTCACTCTCCCTGTGTGTGTGTGTGTGTATGGAATGTGTGTGCAGTCTGCATGGGTGCACATGGAGGCCAGTCAAGGACTTCGGGTGGCCTGCCCCAACACTTTCTGCATTCTTCCGTTGAGACAGGGTCTCTCACTGAAATGAAACTTGGCATTTCATCTAGGCTGGCTACCCATGGAGCCCTCAATCTGCCTGCCCCAACCCCACCATGCAGTACTGGCATGACAGCCATGCCCAGCTTTTTCCATGGGTGCTGGGGATTTGAACTCAGGTCCTCATGTTTGCATAGCAAGTACTCTTACTCCCTGAGCCATCTTCCCAGCCCAAGACCCTGTCTTGATCTTATAAAAAGAACACAGGCTACACAATGTCTATTAATAAAGTATAGCTCCCTCAAAACAGTAGGACTTAGAAACACTAAATTGACAGGAAGGGGTTAGCTGAGCTCACCAGCTCTCACTAGCAAAGACTGTCCAGATCACTTCCTGTGTCCTTAGCACCACTTTCTACTGACACAGCAAGAAACATTATGGGGATCCCTCTAGAGGGGTTTCTGTTATCTTTTCACCGCATTCTTACGTTTCCTCAGAGAGGGACCACACAGTTCCCTCACAGCCTGCTGGCCCACTCCCTTTATTCATGTCTCTTTTGAAATAGGATCTCACTGCGTAGTTCAGATGAAGCGAAGCTCAACTTGCCATCTTCCTACCTGGCCCTCCCGAGTACCAACAGAGGTTACAGGTGTGTGCCACCACACCTAGCTTCCAGTCACCTGTCAAAGGGTATGTTCCTCAAGCTTTAGTTTTGCTTCATTGATTGTCTTTTGTATCAAAGACTGACTTTAAGTTCAACATACAGCTGAAGGTGAACTTCAATTTCTAATCCTCCTGCTTCCACCTCCCAAATGCTGGGATGACAGTTATGTACCAGCACACCCAGTGTGTGCTGTGCTAGGGATCAACTCCAGGGCTTTGTGCTCTGCCAACTGAGCTACATCCCCAGCTCCTTTTCCGAGTGCATGCCTTATGTGTGGGATTTGTGGTATTATTAAGTTCTCTATAATAACTTGTATCACCTGTACCCCATGCCACAGAATAACAGGAAATTATCTTTAAAAGCCCAGTTCATTTGTGAAGGTATCACAAACTCATTTGCATATCCAAATCCCTCTTCTCTATAAACTTCCGCACTAAATTTCTATGAAGAGCATGCCATCTGTTTTTCTCCAGCCAAAGGTATTTTTCCCTCCTTGCTTATTATAAACAGCTTGGCCTGTCATTGCTTATCCTTTTTTTTGTTTTTTTGTTTTTGAGACAGTGTTTCTCTCTGTATCTTTGGCTGTCCTAGAACTTGATTTATGGGCCAAGCTGGCCTTGAACTCATAGAGATCCACCTGCCACTGCCTCCCAAGTGCTGGGATTAAAGACATGTGCCACTATTTTTTTTTAAATTGTTACATTTATTTATTTATTTACTTTGTGTGTGTGTGTGTGTGTGTGTGTGCACGTAGGTCAGAAGATGGCAATTGGAGCTCCCTAAATGGCATGTCGAGGCCCTGTGCAGTGGATCAAGCAGGCCGTTGGGGACTGTGTGCAGCCTGTCCCTGAAGAAGTAAGAGTGAGGTGGAGTGCGTGGGATTAGTTTTTCTCCTTTTACCATGTGGGTGCCAGGGACTCGGGCCATTAGGCTTAGTGGCAAGTGTCTTTCCCGCTGAGTCATCAAGCCAGCCACAATGCAGGTTTTAAACTAGTATCTACCTGGACTCTTTTAAAGAGCCCACATGTTTTTGTACTGTACAAATCCCCTAAGTTGAACTTGCATTTAATATATTATTAATATTGGAGTTGGGGACTTCAGAAGGAAGAATGGTTTTGAGTGGTGGCAGATAGTGACCACAGAAAATGGATACAAAGGACAGCCAGCAATAAGCACACAGAATGAATCTGGCCTGGACACGGACATCTTGGCTCTAGATTCTCTGTAACAATACAGGTAGCTCAGAAACAATGACAGGAAAACAGGACAAGCGTTGATGACAGGAGGGAACCTGGTGTCACCACTCCTCTGCTTCCAGTCCGTCAAAGGCTATCCGTTTCCTTATGACAGTGCTCAACACTGAAGCACCTGGCTCCACCCAATTCTCCAGCCTCTACTTGTACCACTCTGGCCCTGACTTTCAAAACCCCACATCCTAGCCAGGTCCTTTCTTCCTCAAGGCTCTGCACACACTGCTACTTTGGTTCGCCATCCCTTTGCATCGTTGCAGCTTAAGAATCACTTCCGGAGAGAAAGCTTCCCCAGCGGCGTCCACACCCTTGATCTCTTAGTACATCTCTCAGTGTGCGCTGTCGTTGTCTGGCATTGGACCTATCACAATTACATCTTCATTTGTATGAATACTATCTCCTTCCATGCAGTTAACTTTGTGGTGGCAGGCACTTGGTGGATCCGGTTCTTCGCTGAACTCAGCACCCAGCCTAGCTGCCTGTCGCCAGCTAGTAAGAAGGTGTTGAATAGTAATTGAACGAGTGGATGAATGACAGAAACACTTAGCCATAGGATCTAGGCTGTTTTGTTTGAACTGGCCCCCCATTCCCTCAACTGTTAAATTGGGATTAGGGTAATTACAAACTTCAGAACTGCTCTGAGGATTAAGAGTCAAGGTATGTAGTATGCTTGGTATGTGTGTGACATATAATAAGCATTAGGAAACATTAGCTATTATCATCATTAAAAAGCAACTCTCTAAGTAGCCGAAACTCTTAAACATTGTCAGTAGGAATGTGAACATAATACCCTTTCTTACAGCTGTAAACACAGGTAGATCAGACCATTTAGCAATCTTACCTCTAGATATACACTTCGGTGAATTAAAAACTTACACAAAAATGTAGACAGGAATGTTTATAGCAGCTTTATTCACAACTCCTCAGAACTGAAAACAATCCAAATGTTTTCAAATCAGTGAGTAGATAAATCAGTGGAGTACTCATGGCAAGAAACAAATTGAGGACACAAATAATAACCTGGAGAACTCACAAATCCACTATGTGAGGGAAGAAAGACTCAAAAGGCAACATACTGGATGATTCCACTTATATGGAATTTATATGACATTCTGAAAGAGTCAAACTCTAAAACTCAGGCACTAGAATGGATGTGAAGAAAAGTAGGGGGAAGATGGCAATGTCCTAACGGGGTTGTGGTGTGCTTACATGACTATGTGCATTTATCAAAGCTCATGGCATTGGAAACCGAGAAGAGCTAATTTTACTGTATGCAAATTATATCTAATTTGCAATAGAAAACTAAATCGATAGGTAAAGCTGTGCTTTCCTTCAGGAATGGCACACATGGTTTCCTCTCTCTTTCTACTCATACTCCCTTATCTTTTTTATCTTAATTTATCTTAATTTTATGTGTATGGGTGTTTTGCCTGCATGTACATCTGTGCACCATGTGCATGCCTGGTATCCAAGGAAGCCATAAAAGCCTTTGGAGCTGGAGTTTCAGACTATTGTGAGTGGCCACGTGGGTGCTGGGACTTGAATCCAGCTCCTCTGGGAAAGCAGCCAGTGTTCTTAACTGCTGAACCATCTCTCTAACCCCTGTATTTGTTTGTTTGTTTTTTTGTTTTGTTTTGTTTTTAAGACAGGGTTTCTCTGTGTAGCCCTGGCTGTTCTGGAACTCACTCTGTAGACCAGGCCGGGCTCAACTCACAGACATCTGTCTGCCTTTGCCTCCTAAGTGTTGGGATTAAAGGCATGTGCCTACACTACCACCCCAGACCTAGCCCCTTTATTTTCTTAATTATGTATATGTCTGTCTGCCTTCTGTTTGTGAGAGCTCTTGGGAGGCCAGAGAGGATGCTTTATGCTCTGGGGCTGGAGTTGCATTTGGTTGTGAGTTGCTCAATGAAAGTACTGGGAACTAAACTCGGGTCCTGGATCCTCTGGAGGAACAGAAAGCACCTTTAACTGCTGAGCCATCTCTCCAGTCTTTGTTTTTGATTTTGTTGTTGTTATTGTTTTTTTTTTCTTCAAGACAGGGTTTCTCTGTGGCTTTGGAACCTGTCCCGGAACTTGCTCTGTAGACCAGGCTGGCCTCGAACTCACAGAGATCTGCCTGCCTCTGCCTCCCAAGTGCTGGGATTAAAGGTGTGTGCCAACCAACCACCCAGCTATTTTTGAATTTTGAGACACAGTTTCACCACCTAGTCCAGCTGGCCTCAACTCCGTCTTCCTACTTCAGTTTTCAGAGTACTAGTATTTATAGGCATGTGCTACCACTGCCAGGTGGCATCTATATTTTCTGATAATAAAAGCTGGCACCTAAAATTTCTGATAATACTATATGTTCATTGTAGACATGTGGAGAAATGTAGAAAAAATGATTTCTTTGTCATTGACTTTTGGTTGAGACAGGGTCTCATGTAACCGAGGCTGGCCTCGAACTCACTCCTTGTGCTTAGCCTCTACCTTCATCCATCTGGGATTATAGGCTAGTGCCCTCACACACAGCCAATTTTGCTCTCAGATATATATATATATATATATATATATATATGTGTGTGTGTGTATATGTATATGTATATATATATATTCTACGTTCTGAAACGCACTGTGTGTACATTCCTATGGCATTAAATAATTTTCAAAACCATAGTTTTATGAGTCAACAATATATGCGTGTGCCAGATGCACAGAGGTCAGAGGACAAAATGTGAGAGTCAGGACTCTGTCCACATGTGGGTTCCAGGCAGAATTCAGCCATGGTGCTTGGGGACAAGTGCTCTACTGGCTGAGACATCTCAATGACCCTGACTCTCCTCCTGCAATGTAAATTTTTAAGCATTTCTTTGTGGCTAAAAATTATATTGCTTACACAAATATTTCTTTGCAAACTAAAACTACAATCAAGTTCCATCCCCAACACTACAACTTTTTTTTAATGAAAAAAGCCAATTACATATATTCCTGAAGCAATTTCGAAAAATAATAGAAGTTCAAGCAGGACCAGAGACTCCTCCATCGAGGGTTTCACAATGTTGAACTGGCAAGGCAACCTTCCCTTGGCTGCAACTCCCTCATTGTTCCAGAGGCTGCTGGAAAAGTGGTTCCACAGGGTGATCTAGCTCCTCTCTTTGTGATGTACAAGGTTAGACATCCTAACATTTCCTGTACTACCAGCTTCAATTTGCATAATACTTCCAATATTTAATGTTCACCTCACCCCACCTAACGTGGCAGTAAGCAGGGCAGATGGGAGTACTTTGTTCAAGATCATAAGCTTATCAAGAGTGTAAATACGGATGTACATGCAGCCCAGATATTATTCAGTCTCAAAAAACAATTCCCAGCGTTGGGTCGCTTTGTCCTCCAACCCCCACCCACAACTCTGTCCAGTGGATCCTTATCTAAGGAGCAGGTGCTCTCCCAACCTCAAATGTCCTTGGCAACGCTGCCACTTACCAGGTGGGGTCATTTCACTCCCGATGGCAGGGGGACACATACTGTCCCTTACCAAGGGTGCCCAGCGAGCGGGTGGCACGCTGGTTTCGTGGCCCACGGGGCTTGCTGCCCATCTGTCGCGCCTCTGCTGGGGCTGCGGCTCTCTGGGGCACTCCCACGACTCCGAGGAGCCGGTGGGGAGGAGGGGACGCGCCCTGGGCGAGGTGGAAAAGACCTCCACCGGTGGAAGGACCGGCAACGGGCTGTCTGGGAATAATCCTGGGACTTGACAGCCATGCCTCCAGAGGTCAGTCCTCCGCTATCCCAGAGTCCCCCGGTTCCCGGAAGTGCCCGGCTCTCCGGAAGTGCCCGGCTAGCTGAAGGAGTAGCGGCTTTCTCGAGCGCTGTACCTGGTGGGTTGCAGGTCTGGGGTCCTGGTGACAGCACAGGAGCAGGGTTGGAGCGGGCCTTCGGGGCTGAGCGGCGGGATGATGGAGGAGGAGGAACTGGAGTTTGTGGAGGAGCTGGAGGCCGTGCTGCAGCTCACGCCTGAGGTGCAACTAGCCATCGAGCAGGTGAGCGCTCCACCCCCTCGGAAGGAGCTCGGGAGGACCGAGCGACTTGGGGTCCGGGCGGAACCCACCCTCCTAGGCTGGATAGGTGGCAGCCCAGCGCGAAGAGGGGGTCTGGATTTTGGTGGAGGTGGGAACGGGTTTCTCAGCTCATGGATCGAACGCGTCCTCTCTAGGCTCAGGTTGTCATGCTCTGCCGGGTTTGGGCCTTTGACAAGGATGAACCTAGGAGAAACTGTGTGACTGGATAATTCAGGTTATGGGAGATTGTGAGACCTCATTCATTTTCCAGACAAGTGCTCCTTCTCTCTTTTCTCAAGCCCTTGCAGTGGTTTGAAGTAAAATGGCAGAATGGGGTGGTGTGGGGTGTGTGTGTGTGTGTGTGTGTGTGTGTGTGTGTGTGTGTGTGTAAGAGAGAGCCAGCGAGAGAGGCACAGGCTGGAGTTATCTGGGAAGAGGAAGCCTCAGTTGAGCCTCCATCGGATTGGCCCATGGGCAGGTCAGTGGGCATTACCTTGATTGATGATGTAGAATGGCCCAGCCCACTTGCGAGATACCACCCCTGGGCAACTGGGCCCAGGCTGTATAGGAAAGCAAGCTGAGCAAGCCAGTAAGCAGCGTTCCTTATGGTTTCTGCTGAGATGCACTGTAACTTGTAAGGCAAATAAACTCTTTTTTTACCCAAAATAAATTTAGAAAAAGAAAAATAAAAAAAAAAAAGGAAAGCAAGCGAAGGCAGACCTTTACCATGATTAAAAGGTTGAGGGCCAGCGATGTGGTTCAGTGGGTAGAGGCACATTGTCACCAAACCTGATAGCCTGAGTCTGTCCCCCAGGAACCCCAGAGTAGAGGGAGAGAACATGTGTCAGTCAGTCGCCCCTGTTGTGCACCCCCCAACCCAACATACATAGGCCACACACACATAAATACAGTAAAAATGTCAAAAGGTTAAGAATATCGGCTATTTGGCTTACGTTGGAGAATATTTCTAAGAATCCTTTCTTCCTGACAAGAAATTCTCTTGTTGATTAAATCTCCTTGTTCAGTATATTAAAATATATGGTAAAGATATTAGAAATAATTGTTTAGGCCCCATATAGGTTTTGTTCTTGATAAAGGGAGAGAGGTCTTCCTGAAAGGAATTGTCGTGGGCTTATGATGGAAGAAGGCACATTAGGAGCTAGGGCTATGTCTCAGTGCAGAGCATATCTCTGAGCGCTTGTGTCGTGCTCCCCAGGATCTAGGTTCAATCCTAGTACTGGTGGAAAAGAAAGAAAGGGAAGAGTATGCCCCACTTAATGACTGTCGGGAAGTTTGCCCCATAACATATTAGTTCTACACCACTATTAGTATATATGGATAATTAATGTTTTTTCTTTGTTTTTTTCCCCAAGGCAGGGTTTCTCTGTGTAACCCTGGCTGTCCTGGAACTCGCTTGGTGGACCATTAATAAATAATAATAATAAACCTTTAGTCCAGTAGTCTGCCACTGTACTAAATGCTGTGGCACTTATATTGCCCCACTTAAAGATTCACTATGTGTGCTCTGGGTGATGCTGGTCTTACTCCTATAAACCATATCTTTACATCCCAAGGATGCTATCCCAGTGGGTAAAATTGGGGTGTGGGGACCATGCTCCTGCAGCACCTGCTTCCTTCAACTAGGAAATACCTGCATTCCAATTGTGCTTTAGACTTCCTGGGCTCTGATGGCAGAAACAGTACAGTTGAAATGGATTAATAAAAATGCTGCAGGTCCCCAAGCGGTGGCAGCGGGCCATGTGGAGAGCAGCCAGTCCCAGGCAGGGACAGCTGCATGCCCTGGAGCGGTGGCTGATACAGGGCAGGGAGACAGAATGGCGGCAGGCAAGAGACAGAGACATGGAGAGGCATGCCATGCAGAGTAAGGCTGGATATTTATTCAGTGGGTTATTCAGAGGGAAGTACGGAAGGGAAGAGGGAGAAGAGAGAAGAGCAGAGAGAGGGACAGAGAGAGAGAGAGAGAGAGAGAGAGAGAGAGAGAGAGAGAGAGAGAGAGAAGAGAGACGGAAGCTGCCTTTTCAAGAGGAAGATGGAAAAGAGAGGGAACTCAGCTGGAAGCTGACGATCAGCCGAAGCTGACGATCAGCCTGCCTCAGCAGACAGGGGAGGGAGTGGGCGTGGCTTGTCTCTTAAAGAGACAGAACAGATCATTAGATCAGTCAATTACGGTTTGAACTGGAAATATCAGAATATCACGTTGTTATTATCATTTATGATACATTTATTTTTTAATTATTTATTTATTTTTTTGATTTCCAAGACAGGAATTTTCTGTGTAGCCCTGGCTGTCCTGGAACTCACTCTATAGACCAGGCTGGCCTAGAACTCAGAATTCAGATAGCTGCCTACCTCTGCCTCCTGAGTGTTTGTTAAAGGCATGTGCTACCACTGCTCGGCTACATTTTCTAGTCTCACGTTTTCAAGGTTTAGTCAGCAAACACTTGATGTCAAGATGAATTTAGATTTTTTTTCCTTACTTTTAATTGTTCAAAATCCTAAAAATCCTGCAACTAGTTAAACAATAGCATTATAAAGAGCAAGTTAAGGGTTGATATAACAGAATCACATTTTACCCGGAGGTGAGTTCCAGAGGCATTGCATAAAATGAGTACCACCACAGCCATGTTCCTCTTGAAATCCTCTAAACGACCCATGAAATACAGTGTCTAAATAAAGGTTGTCTGATAAGTCTGGTGCTTTCTCTGCGACACTGGGGCCAGGCATTCTCTTTATAGGTGTCACCGGATGAAGGAGCTTAAGTCAAGGATAGCGTTGTGTGGAATCTTGTTAATGCCTGGGATGACACCCAGGGACAGGAAGAGAGGAATGAAGAAACTGGGAGCAGTTAGAGGAAGTGGATAATTCATTTACTTCCTCATACCCCTCACAATGGCGGGCACTGTTTGCAGCGCTCCCTCTGCCGAGGGCATGTAATTAATTGTGTACTCACATGTATGCCTGATGTATTCCCACCATAGGTGTACAGTACGGAAGTGAAAATGCTAAGCTTTTAAGGAAAATACTAAGCTTCATCTCTCACTGACTTTGCCTCCTCATGGAAGTCATAAATTCCTTTCTTAGCAAGACTTTTTGATTCGTTCATTTTTATTCTTAAATCAAAACAATTACTTATTTACTATTTTGTGTATATATGTGAGCCCGAGTGAGTTTCTGTGCATCACAGACGGCATCAGATTCCTTGGGACAGGACTTACAGACAGTTGCCAATAGCTACTGTGTGGTTCTAGGAACTGGACCCAAGTCTTCTGCAAGAGCAGCAAGTGCTCTTAACTTTGAGCCATCTCTCTGTTCTTTTTTGTTTGTTTGTATTTGTTTTGTTTTTTTGAGACAGAGTTGCTCTGTGTATCCGTGGCTGCCCTACAACTCACTGTGTAGACGAGGTTGGCCTCAAACTCACAGGTGTGTGTCATCACCGCCTGGCCATGATTCTTTCACCCTTTTCATAGGAAGCTGTTCCTCTGAAGATTGCTTTACAGAGTTTTATATGTCTTGAGCTGGTAGAATTTGGTTCCCAGAGGATCACCGACTTTTCTGTTGTTTTTATTGTTATTGTTGTTTGTTTTTTAATTATCATAGTGTGTGTGTGTGTGTGTGTGTGTGTGTGTGTGTACATCTGCACCACAGAGTGCTCGTGGAGGTCAGAGGATAACTTGCAGGAGTCAAGTCAGTTCTCTTCTGCAACACGTGGGACCTAGGAACTGAGTTCAGGTCCTCAAGCTTGGTGTAAGTGGTTTTACCTGCTGAGATAATCTTGCCAGTCTCTGACCCCACATACTGTGTTGGAAACAGTCTTCTGTAGCCTTCACTCACTGTCCAGCTGATTGACCTTGAGTTCCGGTCCTCCCAGCACTCTGGTACATGGGCACACACCCATCACCTCTCAATTGCAGGCTTACACCATGCCCCAGCCTTTTATAACCCACCTGTTACCTGTTTTTCAAGTTGTGACTTTTGAGGAGACTTAGTTATATTTCTTAGAAAATAGTTTTCTTTTGCTAACCTGAATGCCAGTTCTCCATCTTTTGATGTTATCTGAAGCATAAAGATTCCTCAGGGCAAGCTGAGCCTGTAGCTTAAGTGGTAGAGGATTGCCTAGCACAGATGAGGCACGGGGGCTTGGTCCCCAGCACCACGATAGATACATATATATGCACATACTTATTGTTTTTGTGTGCAGAGGTCCCACATTTTTTTCTTTTTCTTTTTTTTTTTCTTTTTTGCAATATTGGGGATTGAACCCGGGGCCTCTGGATAGACAACATTTCACCAGAGTTATATCAAAAGAGAGTCCTTTCTTTCCTCCCTCCCTCCCTCCCTCC